GTTCACCAAAAGGAGGGCCCGGGCCCGAACCGGCAGGTGACCGGTTCCGGGCCGGTTCCGGGCCAGACCGGGCCGGTTCCGGGCCGGTTCACCCGCCCCATTTTTTTTTTGATTTTTTGGCTTCTCTTATTTAACCCCCTACCCCTCCCCCTCAACCCCAAACCACCTCAAATGACCCAAAATACCTAATCCAACCCAAAAATTAAAAAAATTTCAAAAAAAAATTAAAAAAAAATTATTTCGGCCCGGACCGGGCCCGAACCGGCCGGGCCGGTTCACCAAATAGAGGGCCCGGGCCCGGAACCGGTATCCACCGGGCCGGTTCGACCCGAACCGCCGGTGGACCGGGCCACTGGGCCGGGCCGGTTCACACAGTTACCGGGCCGGGCCGGTTCCGGTTCGGGCCGCCCGGCCCGAGTCCAGCACTACATGTGATAGCATCTAATTTGAATGAATGAGAAGTTAACGTTTAATGAAAATGAGATGTAGCATTCCGATTTTGTATGTACCGACAGCAACATGTAAAATGTGTAAAACTGTAAATGACTAAAATATCATTGGAGATGTGCGGGAAAGATCACCATCAAATTTTAGCAAAAAGTTGGAAATTAAATTTACTTAAAATATACTACTAAAATGATTAGGCCTGGTTCAGTTCGTAGGCAAAATACGTGGAACCGTTTGAAATTATAAAAATTTACTAACGGTTCGGTTCTTATAAATTATTTCATAGAACTGATAAGGAACCGAACCGTTCATAACGGTTCGGTTCTTGTCATTTAACGGTTCCTAGTCTTTGAAAAAAATCTTACAAATCACGACAAAATTTTTGCTAAAACGACATTCAACGTTTGAAATTACAATATAAATATGTTGAACTAGTTAAAGAGAATAATAATTTTGAATAGTTTAGACCTTCCGAGTTTCGATCCGCTGGAGTTTGGACCAAATGTGAGGCCTAAGAAGCCTAAGAGAACCGGTTGAAGTAAATAATAGTTTTAAATAGTTAAATAACTAAACTAAAATAATGAATGTAATATAAAAATAAACAAATAAAAATATATTAAAATATATATACTCATAAGAAGTATATATAACTAGCTTTCAAGCCCGTGCGATGCACGGGCAGTATATAATTTAGCTAATTTGAAATTTGATTTCTTTCAGATCATATGTAATGTGATTTAAAAGAAAAATAAACTTAGTCTAATATAGAGCTTGTTTGATAATACGAAAATAAATTGAATGAACTTATTTTACTGAAATTGATTAAATTATGACTGAATGAGCTGAATCAGTAGAATCTCCTCAATCGTGAAAAAAATATGTAAAATATATTTCATTTGTGAAGCCAGAAAAAGATTATATGAAAAATAATTAAATTGATCTTCTACATAAGCATCTCGAGCAAATATAATTGTTATGAACCCGATTTTAAACATTTAATATAATCTTATGAAGATGGATATTCATAGAAATTTAATATATATGAAGTAAAAAAAGTCTAAATATAGAGCATGTTTTTTAAATTGTAAGCCTAAACGTATACACGTATACTATAACATTTAATATAATCGTTATAATGGAATTAAAACGTAGTATAATTCTAACACATAATTCTAAGCCTAAACATATACTATAACATTTAATTGTTATAGAAATTAAAACGTATTTTTGGCTAAGAATACCTATCATATATAAACTTAGTCTAATATAAAGCATGTTTAATATAGTACTTTTTTACACCAAAAAAAATATAGTACTTTTTGCGAATTTTTGTTTCCATATCAATATGCAATCAAAAATAGAATCTAGTTAATAAAAATAGAAGATATGAGAATAACTAAATAATTAATATATATAATGACATGGCAAAATTATGTGGCGCTTTGTATGCTTTTAAAAAGTTCCTCTTTTATATATATATTGATTTTAATTATTATATATAATGGTTCCTTAACGGTTCCTGGTACATATTTTTTTAGGAACCGAGAACCGAACCGTTAATAAAAAATAGGAACCGAACCATTAACAAATAACTAATAAATGCTGAAACTGAACCGAACCGGGTCATAACGGTCTGGTCCGGTTCGGTTCTCCGGTTCTTGGTTCCAAAGTCCCGGCCCTAAAAATGATATCTCCCTGAAAGGCCGAAACTATTGCAAGTTTGTAAATTGCAACCATTAAGCAATAAAATTTTAAATTTGGTTTCAGGATCACATTGGTCTCCTTTCTTTTATCTTTGATTTTGGACGATTGGTAGATAAATCAAATGTTCAAATCTGATGTTTGTGACAAACTTATTGTGTTTAAATAGTTGAAATTTGTTATAAAACTTAAATCAAATTGTGTGTTTGAAGCAGTTTCTTTCAGTGCGCATTACAATTTAGAATAATATATGAATACAAAAATAAATATTTCTGAGAGAACGATAGAAATTTAAAAGCTTTAAAAGATGCATAACAAACTTGGATAACACTTGGAGCAAGTGTTCTTATAAACTTTGAACAGAAAAGAGGTAAATAAATGTTTAAAGTCTTCAAACTATTAACGATTATGCAATTTTTTGACGGAACCCAATTTTTGCCAAATGTCAATTATTTAAAGTTATGTCTATCCACATCATGTATACATTAAAAGAATTAAACAAAACTTCTCCAATGCACAATGTTAACATCTTTAAATATTTATCTATGTGTCATTTAATATTCAATATACTCGGTTTAAAAAACTGCCGCAATCATTATTTGAATCCAAATCCTATTCATACTATACTCTTCCAACCCATATTCAAATTATAAACTGCCGCATGATCAAAGAAGCATATGATCGAACTGTACTCATATTCTTCCAACCTGTATGATCAAAGAGATCACTGCCGCACCATTACTCACTCATATTCATCGATCCGAGAAGAGAAAGAAAAGAAATTTTGCACTATACGAATTAGGTAATTAATAATAATTCATCCATGGTTCTTTTCCATTTAAATCATAAAGTAGTCAATCTATTCATTTAATTTATATCATGTGCATTGCATGCAATTTTAGTGTATATCATTAACCTGTCATATTCATGTGTATATTTTTAAATCATACAAAAACATTAAGCATCCAAATCGTTATACTAAAATTATTAGTTTTTTGTAGGTGCTATCAGCCTATCACACACACATATCAAGTAACCTGTGTTAGTTTAGTTTTATTACCAGATAAATTGATTTTGGAATTTCATACTTCCTGAGATAATTATGGACAATGCTCATATTCATTATACACAATATGACTTTTTATACCTAAGTTTGTATATTTACACGATCCAGGATATGTCATCACGAGACTCTGAATCTGAATTGAGCTCTCCTAGTGAATCATCAAGCACAGAATCACTGACCCTTACCAAGACATTTTGGACAGATGGTGGTTTTGATGAAGAATCAAACTCCTTTGTGGTTCAAACCGGGGCAGTTCAGGTTCCAATTGTACTTTCTTCATTTTTAGCAGGTAATAAACGCCCACATGGGGGCTCAACAATTGGTAGGGAATACATTCGCCGTGATAGGAAAGATCGTCATGAGTTAATTAAAAAAGACTACTTTAGTGGTGACAAGTCAAAGTACACCGCTGATAAATTTCGTCGCCGCTTTCGCATGGATATTGAGCTTTTCGAGAGAATTTTGCATGCGGTAGAGAATTATGACAATTACTTTACACAAAAGGTTGATGCAGTTGGAAACATAGGATTGAGTCCTTTACAAAAATGTGTAGCAGCGATACGAATGCTTGCATACGGCTGTTCAGCAGATTCCCTTGATGAATATGTTCAAATTGGAGAAAGTACTGCAATTGAATGTTTGAAAAAATTTTGTGATGCTATAATAGGATTGTTTGAAGAAAAATATATGAGAAAACCAAATAAATCAGATGTTGCAAGTCTGTTAGAAGAAAGTGAAGCTCGGGGGTTTCCGGGAATGCTCGGTAGTCTAGATTGTATGCATTGGCACTGGAAAAATTGTCCGACTGCTTGGCATGGAACTTTTACTAATGGGTTCAAAAAAGTTCCAACTCTTATTCTAGAGATTGTTGCTTCACATAGTTTATGGATTTGGCATGCATTCTTTGGTATGGCAGGTACTAATAATGATGTGAATGTTCTCGATAGATCTCCTCTATTTGATGACCTAGTCAATGATATTGCACCAAAATGTGATTTTGTGATACAAGGTCATCACTACAATATGGGTTATTATCTATCTGATGGTATCTATCCACAATATGCCACATTAATCCAAACAATCTCACAACCAACTTCTATGAAGGAGAAGCTATTTGCAAAATGTCAAGAATCTATTCGGAAGGATGTGGAACGAGCATTTGGAGTCTTACAAAGTCGTTGGCATATAGTAAAAGGTCCTGCTCGTATGTGGAGTGTAACTGACTTGGGGAAAATAATGAAAACATGTATCATCTTGCACAATATGATTATTGAAAGTGAGGTTGACCAAGGCATCAACCCTGAAAATTGGCAACCAGAAAGTGAAGAAGCAGTTGAAAGTGTTACTCTGGAGCATGATTTTACGTATCTTGTATCAAGGATAAACAATAGAATGAAACAAATACAAGACAAGAGAGTGCATAAAGATCTGAAACGTGATCTTATCAACCACTTATGGGAAGTTTATGGTGGTCAGAGAGAAGATTGAAGTATCTTTAAGTTGTTGAGTTAATTATTGTCTTTGACTAATTATTTGAGTTTGTCTTTTTATTATGATTTGATGGAATAATCTATATATTTAAAGTATACATGCTTTTAGATGCTTTATGTATTAGACAGATTGTCTATTTATGCAAATTCTGCACCAGGTATGACTTTGGAAACATAGTTGGGTTTCTCCAGGCCCCATAATATTATCAACTCTTTGGGTCTTTTTCTGTAAACTCAGAGCATCTGTAATCCTGATTAACAAACAGCAGATCCAGAAACCCAAAATTCGAAAGGAAAAAGCTAATATGCCAATAATAGTTATGGAGCACAAGTTTATGATAACTAAAGAACCACTACAGTCATGGCTACGATGAAGGAACGTACTCATAATGTAATGTATTTAAATTAAAACTACGAGACAAACTGAATGCTATAAGTGTTCAAAACAAATAAAAAAACATTAAAACTGGAAAGAAAGGAAAAAATCCTTGATTAAATAGAGTCTGCATGAGATAATGAAACCTAAATCTTCAAACTTTGTGACTTTCAAGTGCAACCTGCAAGTGATGAAAAGATAACACTATAGATCAGTTTAAATAATGGAGCTATTCTCATAGATTATTAACAAAATAAATTAAGATAAAAAATCATTAATATAATATCAGTACTTACTTTGTAGACTAGAAAATACCAGCACTTTCCCATTCTTTCAAAATTTTTGCCTGCATAACATCATAAGAAGCTCTAACTGATGGTGACAGTTTACTAAGATCCTGATTCATAATGCGAAGTTGGTGTTGCCTCCTTTGATTTTCTTCTCTTAGCCTTTGAGCATTTTCTTTTAATTCAATTTCTTTCATCATCACTTGCTCTCTCATTTGCATGCTTGCTTGATTAATATCAATTTGTTTATCCAAAGTGGTCTGCAGCTTGTTCAAGGCATCCACCACGTCTTTTCCTTCATGTAGCCTTCGCTTTTTGGCTTTGCAATTTTTTCTTCCTTCTGGTCTCACAATCCCGTCCAGTTCACTGCCATTTGGTGGCAAGACATCTTCAGGCATAGCAGTTGAAGACTCATTCAATGTTGGTGGAATACCATTATCTGAACCTTGTCCAATTGGTGCACTTGTCTTTGTACGAAATTGTGAGCACCATTTTGGATTCTTGATCAATATTTCCCAACAATGAAGAAATTTGAATGGAGTTGCATAGAAATCCTCATATAAGCGTAATGCTTTTACCACCTATTTGAAATATATCATAAGCATAATAACTCACACTTAAAAACAAATTCATGCAATGTTTTACATTTTAAAATTTTGCTCATTTTATATAAAATTATTAATCCACCTTTCCTGCAAGAGCATTTAAAAAATATGTCATAATAAGTAATACAATACGAAAAAGAATCTTACCAAGTCATCCTTATTTGTGCCACTTTGTGGGTGTCGTTCCAACTGCTCATACTTTGCAACAAATTTATTTACGGCACCTCGTATTTGGTGCCAATGACATTGAAAGCTGTTATTGCTTCTTGCTATCTTGTGATGTGGCCCCATTTTTTCCTTCCAAATTTCTATGACACGGTTCCACATGGCAGCATTTTTCTGGTTATTACCCACATCAGCATCCACAGAAACATAAAGCCATGCCTCTGTTAGTGCAACCTCCTCTTCGACAGACCAATCTTTTTTGATAATTGAAGGTTGAGGCATACAATTTTGAGAAGTATTAGAATTGTGGGCATCTTTAACTCTCTTTTTTGATTTCTTGCTGGTCTCACAACTTTGAGAGCTCAAGATGGGTGTATTCAACAATTCTTGGTAGGAGAATGGATGTGTGTTATGCTGCTCAACATGGAAAGGAAAAGCTCCATTTTTTGGATCAATATGATAGAGTGGTGGAGTAAATTGATTCAAATTGTTTGATGGGAAAGAGTAGCCAGGAGGTTGGCTGAACTGATTCGGACTCTGTGAGAGTATTGTGTAATTAGAAGGAGCGTTCAATTGATTCACATTCATTGGCGGCATGGAGTAACCCAGAGGTTGTCTCGTGTTCGTAAACTCAGTTGAGTCTTGTGAATCCATTTATGCTACTTTGACAAATAAGCATTAGATATACCAAAATATCAAAATGAATAAATGAAACATTGCAATAACAAGTTTGTAGTTCTTACTGGAAGGAAAAACTCAAATCCATAGGCACCCTCACTATTTAATATACTAAAATTCATAAAACTAAATAATAACAGATAATGCAAATAGTCTTATAAATAAAAAATTATTAATCCAGAATAATAGCAAGTACTTTAAGACTAAAGCAGAGCTATAATAATTTAATATAAACTGAAAAACATTGCAGCTAGAATTGAATGCATTCTTTAATTTCTAATTCGTATTTTACAAAGTTTTAGCAATGGGCCAATTTTACAAACTTATCTGAATGACCCCTTTCATATGGTGGCAAAACTTTACACACATTTTAATTTTTCATCAATGATTAATAAGAATAAAGCTATATTAATCACTGCAATGTTCTAAGGTATGCTTTTGAAATAAAACGTGTCACATGGTAGAAGTATTCTTTTCACTACTTGAGATCAAAACTCCATCCAACCGCACTTAAAATTAAAAGTAAAACAGAAATGGAATAAAGAAACATCAGCTTTGTAACAAATACAAGAAGTAATTAGTCTTCTAAATAAAAAAGTAAATAATTTCCAGATGCCCATAGGCTCTTACCTTCGAATGTTTCTGAACTAAAGAATATTAGTTGTTCAAAGCATCATTGCACTGATGGCAAAACTTATCACATATTTATAAGAATAAAGTTTTGTATCATCAATTATTAAAAACGTCCCTGACGAGTATACTTCAAAGATGCTGCTTGCGGCAATTGATGATACCCATATAAAATCATACGATCTCCTCTATTGCTCAAACAATTTCATGAATAAAATTATGTATATGACAACAAATTAACAAGGCCATGCGTGGTTTATGAATACAAGCATTGAGGTTTTCGAAAGTTCATAACAAGGACATGCGTGGGGAGAATTTACCTCTCAAGAAAGGATTTCCACCGGATGAGAACCACCGCCGACGGAAGATCTGTATTTGGCAGAATACTTGACGGTAGAGCAAGGGTTGAGAGTGATGAAGATAAAATATGATGAGGTGTGCGGTAAATATGGAGTGCCGCGAATTTTTTCAGAGTTGCCGCTTGTTTTTTCAGATTTTTTGTTGAATGGCGCGCTTATTTTTTGTAGAAGTGTCCGCTTGTTGTAGGACTTGCTGAGTCACGCTGTTAAACGCACTTTGGGAATTCCAACAGTGGCTTTGACATCATTGAATCCATACCAGCATTAAAGAGCTCGTGACAGAGTGCATTGGAGACGAAATTCCTACCATTCTTTCTAAATTACAGACGTGGCATTAAAGAGCTTGTGTCAAAAGAAGGCCATTGGAGATGCTCTTAGGCTTTTGAACATAAAGATTTTGTAAATTCATCCCTGGGCAGATTGAAATAACACAATTGAATCACTTTTTACCTGCTGGTCACGGTAAGATTGAAATTCAAAAACATTTTGGTTGAAAAAATCTCATCGAGTTCGATAATTTTTTGATGAGAAGTTTCATTAGATGGAGAATTGCATTTGTAAGATCTAGTTGCAAAATCGTTAATTGTCCTAGTGGTTACTTGCCCCTTTAAAAAAAAAACGATATTGGGAAGCAGGCAACCAGCTCCGTCATGGACTCCGCTAATTTCGCGTTTGTTTGACTATACATATCAAAACTATGTCGGACTTTTGCAATTAAAACTTTCTTCCAAGACGACTGTGTGAGTGGGATGGGAAGTGGGAACCCATACTTACAAATGCCATCTTAATTGAAACCGTTCATATAAAGCCATAAAGGTAAGTGTCACACTATCCCTTAAAACTTGGTAGATTGTACCTTATCCATAAGGTACAGGGGCGGAGCCAAAGCACTGGGTCAGACTGGACTGGTACAAAGAATATTTTTTGAAAAAAATTTACACGAAAATTTTTACCTTAAAAATTTAGCCATTTTTAAAATTTGGGGTGAGTTATCGCCTAGGTTGCCCACCCCTAGCTCCGCCCATGAAGGTACCATACCTTTGTCCACATGGATCAATGAGAATGTAGCACTTGAATTATTTAAATCTAAATTAAAAATGATAAAGTGATGTGGTCCAAACAAATGAATGGTAGGTACGGTACCCCATTTTTAGTTGGGTACCAGAGTTGTCACCTTAAAACTTTGCCAAAGTTGACCGGCACGGAGAATAATAAAGTAAAAACTGTGTGATTGAGCTTTGTGCAGAGGAGAGAGAAATAACAAAAACCACAAAATAATTGATTAAAAGGGAAAGTGACAAGTTTTTTGGAACATTCCAAAAAGGAAAGATGACAAAGTTTTAAGGGACGGAAGGAGTAGTATAAATATAATGCATTTTTTGTTATCCAAGTTTAGAATTAAATTATTCAATTCTAATATTGTACCACGTATAATAGTATTCAAATACATAACTATATTTGCAAAAACACAGCTCTCTGTTTAAAAAAAAAACTTGGCTAAAGTTGATTTGTATGTACTATAATAATGTAAACATTTTATGATTGAAATTTGCGTGGAGAAGAAAAAATAATAAACTGAATTTGCAAATCCTTCTGGAACGATTAAATAATACTACGTAAAATTTAATAAAATTTAGTGGGAGAAGCAAATATGATTAAATAATTATATAAGTATTACGTAGTGAAGCAAAGATATGTATATGAATATATGATGAATGTGATTTTTCCCATTTGCACACTTGCACGATATATATAATTCTACTATATGAAAATTCATATAACAAACTGAACTAAATTTCGATACATAATAACATAAATTGGTTTTTGTCAACTCATTAATCTATATATCAAAGTTCAGATCTAGACTATTAACATTAATATTGGAATTTGATTGTATTTTGTAACTATATTGGAATTTATTTAGGTGAGCAAAGAAATGAATAACATTTAAATTGAATCATTGATTACTTAGGAATCTAGTTAGAGTTTGGGTTTCTTTTTCAATTAAAAAATAATATGAAAATGGAGATGGTAAGAAGTAGGTTATTAAAATATTAGGAACTTTAGTCTTTTTTACGTCATTGGGAGTGTTTGGATCTATGGGACCAGAGATAGATGTGTCAAGTCCGCTTCATAGTTAACGATTCCCGCCGATTCGTGTTGCTCTTTCATTGGTGACTGTCTCTAAGTCTGATCATAGGGTTTTTAGTTGTAGCTGTTGGAGATTAGTTGGTGTCGGATTTGTTTTTCCTTTGATTGATGTAATGATTCTGAAACTTATGATATGAATAGAGCCAAGTTTCCGTTTAAAAAATATATTAGAACTTAATTAGTTATCACTCCGAAAGGATTTTTTTCCCCAATGTGAAAACCTAGACGATCATTTTGAACTTCTCAATTCAATAGAGGTGACAATTCTTTTCTTTTTAATAAAGATAAGAAATACGCAGACTTTGAAAGGAAAACTACCATATATATTAATTCAGAATTCGCAGTACAATCAGAATTTGCCAACAAACAACGTAAACACCTGACACTACCCTCCATCCAACCAACCATAACCAGAAGCCCCCCCCCCGGCCCCTCACTTGTTTATCAGAGATAGAGTAGTCCACCCCAAAAGGAGCGAGACTAATCGCTGAAAATGTGAGAGTTTTGAGGCTATTAGCGGCTGAATCAGCCTGATTGCCTCTCACTAGAAATCTAAAATTAAACTACGGTAACCCAAACTAAGAAACTACCACACTTATTATATGACCTAACAGATAGGGCTGAGCAAAACCCGAACCGACCCGCAAAACCCGAAATTTTATTTGGATAATATCCGAACCGAAATGGATACCCGACCCGAAAAACCCGAAACCAAAAACCCGATTAGTATTGGGCCTAGATCGGGTGGCGGGTAGGGTTTGTAAAATCCCAACCCGACCCGCCCGAATATATGAAATATATTAAATAATTTAGTGTGTACTTTGAATATGTTAAATTAATACTTGTGTTCAATTATTTGTGTAATTATTTGTGCAATTTGCGTTAAATTATTTTTGTAATTTGAATGTGTAGTGCACTAGTGTGTACAATTTTTGTCAAAGTGACATTCCAACACTTTAATTATCCAATTATAATGTGTTTTAATATAACCGAAATATTTGAAATATATTAAATCATGAAGTGTGTACTTTGAATATGTTAAATTAATACTTGTGTTCAATTATTTGTGTAATTATTTATGCAATTTGTATTAAATTATTTGCGTAATTTGAATGTTTAGTGCACTAGTTTGTAGAATTTTTGTCAAAGTGGCATTCAAACACTTTAATTATTCAATTATAATTTTTATTAAATATAACCGAAGTATCCAAAACCCGATCCGATATCCGATAATATCCGACTTACAAATATCCGAAAAACCCGATTTGAAATGTCAAAGGAAAATATAACAGAAATAAATAAATATAAGCCGCACCGCCAATTTCGAAGCCCTAGTCTCGTGATTCCTTGGTGGCGGCGGTTCTGGAGGGGGACGAATCACCCGCCTACCATCTTCTGCTTTCACCACCTGAGACGGCCAGAACACCCGCTCCGATCCCCCAACACCCACCTGGATCCCAGCTTCACCCCTTTGACCTGACTCCCAACCCTCCAGCGCTCCACCCGGATCAAAACACAACCGGTGTAACTCCCATTTCAGCCACTGCCATGACCAAAATAGCCAAACCAATCATCGGAATCTCGGGTCTCACCACCATATTCGCTTCAGATCTACTGTCGTCTTTGAAAGCACTGAATTCCATTTACCTCCCTCTCTGTCGCGCAACTGCTTTTGGCCTCTTCCTTGTTCGGTAAAGCCACATCTCTTGTTAATCGCAGCACTCCTTGGCTGTCCCACTAACTCGCAGGGACAAAACTCCGTCAATGGTCTGCAATAGACTTCCAAACACAAAACCCAAGAATCGTGCCTTGCACTCCAACCGAGATTCTGCTACCGAAAACCCGGGACACTCTCGCCGTGAGACTCACAACACCGCCCGCCAAAACTCCGCAGATGATTGCCGAAACCCTAGCTGCGCCGATCTGGAGAGAATCGCCTTCTCTCGAAATACGCGGACTCTTGAAGAATGCAAAGTGGATATACTACATATGAAGTACTTGTATTACGTTAAAATTCGAAAAGGACATGATTCCTTGTAAAGTGGCAACTCTTTTAACAAAGCTGACACATTACACAATTTTAATTTGAACGGTTCGAGATTTGCATATTGAGTATAAAATTAAAATAAATCCTACTCAAAGTGCTTCATGCCTTCTTCCGTTACTATTTTAAAAGTTACGTGTTTCTCTTTGCAAAGTACCCGGATAATATGAAGATTATCCGGGTACTATCTTAACCAACATTAAGATAGCAAGTTTGAGATCTCTTATGGTTAGACAATAATTTTGATGAGTAACAATTCTCCAAATATTAAGGAGACATAAAGGAGCATGTGTCTATACATCTTATTCTAAATTGATAGGGACAACAAAAGAAGTGTTAAAACATTTGCGGGAAGGAGAAGGATCCATCGTCCATTATATGAAACTAGGCATGGACCCGGTTCGGGCCGCCCGGCCCAGGACCGGCCCGGCCCGCCACTGTGCGGGCCCGGAACCGGCCCGGTTCTCGGGTCCGGGTCCGGGTCGGGCCTAGGCCTGGTGGGGGGACGGGTCCGGGCTCGGGACTTGTATTTGGCGAACCGGCCCGGCCGGGTCGGGCCCGGGCCGAATTGATTTTTTTTTTTTTTTCATTTTTTGGGGTTAGCCGGGTTGGGCTTGATGGTTAGGAGGGGTTTGGGGGTTTGGGGTGGGGGGGTGGGGGGGGTGAGTGCGGGGTTAGGAAAGCAAAAAAAAAAAAATTATGACCGAACCGGAGGCCCGGCCCGGCCCGGACCGGACCCGGACCGGACCCGGTGGCTACCCGGGCCGGTCCCGGGCCTTCCTTCCCAAAAAAAAAGCCCGGCCGGGCCCAGCCCGGAACCGGAACCGGCCCGGGTCCATGACTATATGAAACTGAATTCATCAAGAACTCAACTTTTTTTTAAGGAAATAAACTTAATTAGCATTAATCAAGTCAAAGTTCAAAGTTCCAACAATACAAGACGGGGAGTGTCCACCCAAATATAATAATCAAACAAAAGAACAAGCTGCTCAGCCAACTTATGAGCAACTTTGTTCATTGATCGACCCACAAAAGAGAAGGTAATATTGGTAAACCTTCTATACTAATATTTCGAATGTCTTCGGCTAGGATGCCCATCACAGAGATGCTCGACCCCTTGCTAATTTCTGAAATGGCAGCTTGAGCATTAGACTCCACTTCAATACCATCCCAGCCTTGTGATTTAATCCAGCTAAGTGCTTCTCGGATACTCAATAATTCAGCTTCCAAAGGAGAAGAGCTTCCCCAATCCTTCTTAGCACCCATGCAAGGAACTGACCAGACTCATTTCGAATCACCCCAGCCCAGTCCTCGCCTGGAATTCCCCCAGGCAACATCAACGTTCAACTTGTACCAGTCTGCTCTAGGAAATCTCCAGGTTCAAGTTGAGTTCAACTTGAACTCAACTTTTTTTTCCTCCAAATGTCATCTAGAAACTTTTTAAAGATACGATAATGTTGTGGTAAACGGGTGAATATTAACAGTATCACTTAGTCACGTTACATGACATGAATTAGAATATATAGAGTATCAATTAT